GACCTCACTGTCGGATCTGACCCATAGCAACCCTTCCTTGGGATGCCGAGGCACTATCACTACCGAAATAGATTGCCCAATCTTCCTTCCCAGGAGTGGCTGATGGGTTTGAACCGCCAGCCTTCTGGTTAGCAGTCAAAGGCCTTAGGCATTACGCCACCACAGCTCCCTTAACTAACTTATTGGGTATTTTTAATCTCTCTTCTGAGCCCACAAGTTGTTGAGGCCAATAATGGAGATGCTGATAGGTCAACCAGTTACAGTAAAGTCAATTCCAACTCATGGCAACCTATGTATGTCAAAATCAGTGGCTGATTTTTAAGTGTATCACTAACTCTTTCTTCCTAGGCACTTCTGAGTGAACTCAAGCCTCCAACCTTCCGGTTAAGAGTGGAGCTTGTAACTGCACCACCCAGAGACTCACGGAGGCACTGCCATCAAATCAATTGTGACTCATAGTGACCCTATGGGACAGAGTAGAACTGCACCACAGGGTTCCCGAGGCTGCAATCTTTACACGTGCAGACTACCACATCTTTCTCCCACAGAGTAACTGGAGTGTTTGAACCACTGGCCTTTCAGTCAGCAACCGAGCACTCAACCATTGCACCACCAGGGCTCCTTAAGGAGGCACTACCCAAAACCCAAACCCACCACCACTGAGTGAATTCTGACTCCTAGCAACCCTTTAGGACAGAATAAACCTACCCCATAGGGTTTCCAAGGCTGTAAATCTTTACAGAAGGCAGACTGCCTCATCTTTCTCCCGCAGAGCAGCTCATGGGTTCGAACCACCAACCTTTTGGGTAGCAGCCAAATGCTTTAGCCACTGCACCACCAGAGCTCCTTATGGAGGCACCAGTCCCTTAGAAAAACTGAATGAAAACAGTCACCAACCGGGGTGCCATTGCCCTGGCCCACACTGGCACTTGGGATCCTAGCCTTCAGTGGCTAAACTCCCAGAAGCAAGTTTCCTAATCAAGTTGAAAAAGTGAGACCAGACTCTCCAACTTAGAGGTCTGCCTCTTACTCAACAGTGTACGTACAAGCTTAATCAACTCCTTCCCCAGGTAACATTCCAGACTGGAACTAGCTACTGTGATACTGGAAGTTGGGAGTGAGTACCTGAAAACTTTTTCCGATTGCTACTGTTGCTGTTGTTAGGCATTCTCCAGTCAATTTCGACTCAGAGCAACTCCATGTGCAAAATTAGAGCTGCCCCACAGTTTTCTAAACTGTAATCTTAACAGGAGCAGATTCCCAGGTCTTTCTCACTCGGAGCCACTGGGTGGGTGCAGGGGCTCCAAACTGCCAGCCTTTCAGTTAGCAGCCAAGTACTTAATTGCACCCCCAGGGCTCCTAATTGCTACTGTATGTCCTTTACTTTTTTTAATGGTAATTTCAGCTCAGACCCTCATACATTTGCTAGCTATATGGGCTTCTGCTAAAAAGGATCATCACAAAAATTCCTATAGGGTGAAGTAGGTTCTAGTTGTAGGCAAGATTCCTTTAACCTTAAAAAGTTCACGTAAACATTAATTTGTTGAGCCCACTAAATAGGTATTAAATCTGAGTCCAATTTTCTAACTCTGACTCTTAGATTGAGGATCAGAGACCAGTTCATAGCTCAATCAAAGACCTGAGAGAACCATTCTGCTTCCTCCCACCGGATCTCATACATTATCATACTCCAAATCACCTTAGCTACAAAATGCCCCTCAACACCTCCGATGGTTTGTTTGTCTAAGGCCATTCCAGCCAGCAATGGTCAGACCTCTGGTTACTGCTCAGAGTCTAATCAATGAGGCATTTTATTGGGAGCCAGCTCATAACCTAGATAAAATTAATCTGTTGCCACAGCTCCTTAATGGGATTTGTTCTAGGGATTAGGTAAGGAATTCCCTGACAGCTCATATTCTTGGTAGAATTATGTTGAAAGTTTCAGCAGTGATTACTAACTGAACTTTCCTAACTCTCCACTCCACCCCCAGCACACCCACACCTCACACCACTCCCCAACCAAATCTGCATGACTTTTTCACACTAGAGAATGTACTATTGTGTATGGAACTAAAGCGGCCCCACCTAGTTTCAAGAATTCATCTGTCTCCTAAAAATAAAACTTTTAATGGCTTTGCTTCTTGAGGAAAGAAAACCCTGCCAAACTCAATGGTTAGTGGTGGAATTCTGTTATTTCCCTCACATTAAAAAAAAAAAAAAAAAAAATCAGTTGCCATTGTGTGGATTCTGACTCGTGGCAACTCCATGTGTTTCAGAGTAGAATCACTACATAGGATTTTCAATTATCGTGACCTCTTGGGAGCAGACTGCCAGGTCTTTCTTCCAAGGCACCTCTGGATAGATTTGAACTGCCAACCTTTCACTTAGTAGCCAAGTGTTTAACCATTTGTGCCACCAAAGAGTCTCACACTTAGCCTTATTAATTCAGTGGATTCTGGAGAAGATAAATGGTTGTCTGTGACCTTTTGTCAATGTACAAAGAACTGGACCAAAGTTAAACAAACGAGGGCAGAAATCATTGCAAATGGAGTTTCCAGGAGGGAGATGCAAAAAGTCACTGGTTTTAAGCCTATAAGTGCTTGCTTCAAAAAGAGTAATATTTACTAAAAGGTCAGAAGGTGGGATAGGGTGTTTACTGGGAAAATGGTCCACTTCTTTGTAGTGGAAGTCAAGTCTAATAAACATTAGGAATTTCTATGATTTCCCACCCCCCCACCTCAAACTCAAGTTCTCTTAGTGGCATTCAAGGCCTTTCAAGAGAGTATAATCAAGGCTTTCTCTTTCCCTTAGTTTCCTCCTTTACACCTACCTGGCATCTCCCACCTGTACTTCCAGATCCCACTTCCCTTAATAATCCAGGTCCTGGCACTTACCATTTTTAACACCTATTTTGGAATATACTATTTACTGGCTACCATTTCCTTAGCCCACACTGATGCCAAGCACTCTATGTCATCTTACTCAGTCCTGTGAGGTGGTGTAACAAGGGCTGTGTGTCTGGTACAGGGCTGGGCAGCGTTTCATTCTGTTGTACATAGGGTCACTATAGGTTGGAGCCGACTTGACGGCACCTAACGTCAACATGAGGTGGACACATTATCAGCCCCATTTCCAATAGTGACTTACACTGTGAGGTATCCATGCCCTTTTCTCCCCAAAAAGGCAAGAATCCCTGAAGGAAATGGTATAAGACAATCCCATTGTTTGTTGTATGTCCCTAAAAAGCAGCAATGTCTAAAATACAGTCTAAATAAACTTTTCAGGACTCTAGAAGGCAGAAACTGAGTCTTGTTCATCTCTGTAGCCCTCACAGTGACAGGCAAACGTGGTGCTCATTAAGCATTAACTGAACGGCATTGAAAACTCTTGTCATCAATCCCTGTGCAGCATCATTTCCGGGGGGAAAAAAATTCACCTTCATCAAACTCTGGAAGCAGCTCTGAGAAACCTCAAGAACTACCTCAAAAGCCATTGTTTCCCTAGTAAAGGATTTCTTCCTCCCCAGAGAGAGGAAGGTATAGCACCTGTGCACATTTCTAATTGCATTAAGCAAACTGTGCTTCTCCAATAAGGTCATGTGACAGAGGCATGCTTTCTTACCTATCTCTGTATTCATTGAAGTGAGTAGTTGTTCATAAAAACTTATTGAATTGTCAAATTTCATTCTCTTAGGATATTATATGGCACTTTTTGTTACAAATGCAGTTAAGAACCAGTGACCATCAAGTTCATTCCAACCCATGGTGACCTCATGTGTGGTCAGAGGAGAACTGCTCCACAGGGTTTTCAATGGCTAGTTTTTTGGGGGAAGGAGACCACCAGGCCTTTCTTCCAAGGCACCTCTGGGTAGATTGGAATCTCCAACCTTTTGGTCAGCAGCCAAACATGTTAACCATTTGCACCACCCAGGAACTCCACAGATGCAATTACTACTACTAATTCTCACTTAAAACAATCTCTTTCCTAGATGTACCGACTAGAAGTGACCTACCCAACTGTCTCTCTGGATTAATACTAACAAAACAGACTTGTTCTCCAGAAGTGACTGCCCACCCAACCCAGAACAGACCACCTAGTGATCCGAAGAAAAGGGCCTCTTCCCATCCTGTTGGGATTCCTGGGCTGGGAGAGGGAGAGTGCAATCACAGGGCAGTTTCTATGGCAGGATTACTCTGTGCTGGGAATTTCAGGGAAACCACAACTATTACTGAGGCCAGACAGCTGCCAGAGAAGAGCTGGGCCTAAGAAGTGAGGCTAAAATAGAGGCGAGAGGCTGTGTTCCATTACTAAGGGCTGGAGTATTCACTCCCAAGTTTGTCCACATTTCAAGAATGTTAAAACCTTGTAGTTGAAACCCCTTATTATTTATAACTTAAAATAAACTACTGTGTAAAAAGCAGAAACTTGACAAATGAAGACATAAAATAAGCTGAACTGGCGACAGGTAAAATACCACCAGCATAAAAGGCATTCATCACTCCCTTTTTGTGACTTCTTCCAAAGCCCCATCTCCATTCCCTACTGTAAATAAAGTTTTCATTTTGCAGAGATAGCTGATCAAAAAATAAATTAAGCATTCAATCTTCCAAAGAATTGTCTTGAGTGTATTCTCAAATACTCACGCCTCTAATTTTGCATCAGGTTGAAAGTTTAAAGCCGAAAAGGACAACACAAAAGCATACAGCAGGCCACACAACAGGCACCACGAAGTGTCTCCAAGGTAGCAGAGATCCAGGGGACACTGTGTTCAAGACAGCTGTCCTCCGTACTTGGGTCTACAGAGCGCGAGAAAAGGATCCAGGAGCTCCGGAGACCATCGGCGTTTTCCCACCCCCCCGTCCGACGAAATCTCCCAGGGTGGGAGAATCCTAGCTGCCCTCAGTGCACCAGAAAACAACTTCAAGGAAGCCTGCGAGCAGAGCCCACCACGCGCTCCCCTCCTCAGGACCCTCCTCTGAACCAGCGAACAGGCCACTTACCGGGAGCCAACCTGACAGCTCCCGCCGGGGTGGAAACATCCGATCTCCTCGCACTGGCATCTCGGACGGTGGTCCCGCGTGGGGTAGCCGGCCCCAATGCCCGCTCTTCGTCCGCGCGGCAGGACAGTCCTCCGACCTACAGCCCCGGGCCGCCGGGGTGCCGACCCGCGGTGACCCACCCTTTTGTCCCTCCTCCAGCGGCGGCGTTGGCCCGCCCCAGCCAGAGCGCAGCGCCCGCCCGCCGGGCCCGGGAAACTCTCAAACGGGCCGCTACCACCCCCGAGTGAGCCAGGGGGGCAGGAGCTCGCCGGCGCCGCGTCCCCAGGCCCCAGGCGGCGGGCCGCGTCACGCGTGACTCCCGGCAGGGATCGGAAGAGCCGATGGCGACAGGGGAACCCCAAGGCTCCAGCGTCCTGCAGCACCCACGCTTGCAACCCCCCCCCCCCGCCGGCCGGATGGTTCGCTCCGAGGCGTGCGCCAGGGCGAGCAGGTCCAGCTCCGGGAACCGCAGCAAAATTTGAGCTCAGGCGCTTGCCGGGGGGGGGGCCCTGGTACCAGCGTGTTCCGCGGGCCTTTTCCTTTGAGGTCTCGTGGGTATCCTGTAGGGCCACTTTTTGAAGAAGTTTTCAAAGCCTCTCAGAAGCTGCGCTTCAGTTCCCTTCAGAATGAAGAACTGGGGAAACCCCAAAGTTTCTGTCCTGATGTCTAGAAGCCTGTCCGGCCTGCTAACACAATACGGCATTGTACCCACAAATTTCTCAGCTCAACAACTGCTTACCCCGAGTTCCAGGTCCATAAAATGTTTATGTTAAATACTGAAACATGGCTTTTCTGCAAAATATACTTCAAGTTCTCTCGTGGGCACTTTTCCAGCAACTGCTATAAACAGAATGAAACTCCTGTCTATCGTCGGCTTTTAAAAGGCCCTAAACCAAACTAAACCAAACAAAACCAAACGCACTGCCGTGGAGTGGGATCCGACTCATAGCGACCCCTCCTTGGGTTTCCGAGGTGATGCTTAGCCAACAGGATTCTTCTAATTCAACTCAATATATTTGTCTTAAGAGTCCTGTATGTACAAAGAATTGTGCAAAGTAAATAAAAGTTTGCTTATTTTGTTGTTAGCTGTCCTTGAGTTAATTGCAACTCACGGCAACCCCACGTATGCAGAGTAGAACTACCCTATAGGGTTTGCAAGGCTGTGACTTTTCAGTAGTTGCCAGACCTGTCTTCTGAGCCACCTCTGGGTGGCTTCGAACAGGCAACCTTTAGGGGAGTGGAGGAGCATGTCACTACGCCTCCCAGCTGATTCCTTTCCTTCTTTGAGGAGCATAATAAATTATTTGAAGAAACAAAACAAGTACACTGATTAAAAATACAAGTTTAGATTTGAAATCTAAGGAAACCACGTTGTAAAAGAAAATGTGTCCCACTCTGTTCTTCTCTTAGGTTGAAGAGCAAAATTCTGCCTAATCTCAAACAAGTAGAAGGTAAAAGGTCTGTTCGGCTCCTCTAACAAGATATAGTTGCTGGGCTCACTCCCTGAAAAGTTGCTTCACTTCCTACCTAATCAAAACAAGTTTGGCAGATTATGTGGAAAAACAAGTCCAGCAGGTGCCGCTCTCAAAGTATTTTGCGTTCTGGCCTCCTTTGGAGTCAGCTGAATAAAAAGCACTGTATTCCCACTTTATTTCAAGTCTCCAGACTTAGACATTTTGGTTGTATACCTGCTATAAGGTGTTACTCTCCTGATCTCAGCAGCTATTTAAAAAATCTGTTTCCCAAATTAGGTGGTGCTGCTAATAATAATAATGATAGTGTTTGTGAACCGGTCACACCTTAGTGTTGTAAGTTTACCCCACTAGCATTTAGAAAGGCAGAAAGGAATCCAGAATGTAGCAATTACATCAGTTAAATGATTCCCTTTTTCTCTAGAGCTGTGTTGACCATTATGAAAGCCACCCATCACAAGTGAGCATTTCCATTTACACTTAAAATAATCAAAATGAAGAAAAATTTTAAAAATCACTTCCTGTATTTGTATGTTCTGTAAGAATTCCCAGGTATATAGTAGAGCTGACAAGAGACAAGGTCACTTCTTGGTCACAGCCAGCTACCCACAGGGACCGAGTAGTTGAACTTGTGGGCTTAGGACCATAGTCGCAGGGGACATCAAACTCAACTGGCATAACATACTACACAAAACATTGTTCCACCTCCTACTCTGGCAAGTAGCAACTGGGATCTTAAAAGCTTACAAGCAGCCATCTAGATGCAGTGATGGGTCTCTCCTTGTCCAGAGCAAAGAAAAATGAAGAAAACCAAAGATTTGTGGAAATAATTAGTCCTAGCGACTGGTACACCATGTGATCCACAGTCTATAAGACTATGAGACCAGAAGAACTAGATGGTGCCCAGCTACCACTGTAAACCACTCGGAGGGTGATCTATGTAGGAGATCCCGGATAAAGAGGGAGAACAATGTGGCACAAAACTCAAAATCATTTGAGGGCGGGGGGGTGGGGGAAGGCAACTAGGTTTGCTGGTCTGATAAAGCCTGGTGGAACCACTGAGACTATGGTCCCTAGCTGCCCTTCAGGTCTGAAACTGAACCCACACCTGTGGCTTCCAGCCAAACAAAAGACAGGCATGTGAGCTGAACATTTACCTGAGGTAGATACACTCCTTGGAAGAACAATCATGGGAGAAAGAAGGGCTGTTTATGCACAGGGAGACAGCTCAGGGGGCAGGAGTGCATGGAGAGATAGACACAGGAAGAGGTAACTATCGGAAGGAAGTGGGAGGGGAGCTGTTGCATTGTGGTAAATTGTAGTCAATGTCACGAGACAAAGTGTATGTGAACTGCTGTATGGAAAGTGAATTTGCTCTGTAAATGTTCAACCAAATTACAATAATAAATTAAAAAATAGCTTCTTCAGGCACAGAGCCACATCTCAAGTGTTCCAATTGCCACATGCAGCTAATGGCTACCATACTGCACAGTGCAAATATAGGACAGTCCCATCATCACAGAAAGTATTACTGGTCTGTGCTGCTCCAAATGATGAAATACTTATATACTTGAAATACTATTCTTCTGGCGCAGTGCCTGACATATGATAAGCACTCAATAAATGGTTGTTGACAAAAATGACTGAATGGATACACTTGCATTGCTGGTGGCTGTATATATCAATACAACTTTTTGGAGAAGCAATTTATTAGTATATATTTTCCACATGTGGGACTGGCACATCCCACTCCTTGAATTTGCTTATCTGGAAAACTTCAATCCAAAAAAGGATCCCTGGTGGTACAGTGATTAAACACTCAACCGCTAACCTAAAGGTCGGGGGTTTGAACTCACCAGCTGCTCTAAGGGAGAAAGAATTGGCAGTCTGCTTCTGTAAAGATCACAGCCTTGGAAACTCTGTGGGACAGTTCTCTGTCCTACGGGATCACTATGACTTGACAATGATGGGTTTGGTTTGTGTGGTTCAATCCAACAAGTATTTATGAAGCACCTCCTGTCAAGCCATAATCTGATAAAAGACTCACCTAAGGGAGCTCAGTCTATTCCAGTAGTAAATCAATGAAGAAAATAATCAGAAACTGCAAGTGCAGAAGGAGCTCTGGTGGCACTGTGGTTCAAGGTCAGCAGTTCAAATCCACCAGCTGCTCCATAGGAGAAAGATGAGAAAGTCTGCTTCAGTAAAGATTTACAGCCTTGGAAAACCTACAGAGGCAGTTCTATTCTGCCCTATAGAGCCAATGGCAGTGGGTTTTGGTTTGGTTCCAGGGACTAGGGGTGAGATGGTGAGAAAGCATTGCTTAAGCATTCTAAAGAAGTTGTAAGAATAAGTTGTGAGACAAAAAGGAGGAAAAGCTTTCCAAATGAAGGAGATAAATAACATGGAGAAATAAGGAAATGAAGAGACCAAAGGCCTAAGGGTGATAGAAAAATCTGAAAAGTGCTAAGGGTGAGGATGGTTGAACAACATGATGAACTTAACTGTCACTGAACTGTACATGTGAAGACTGTTGAAATGGCACATGATGTGTTACCTATTCATATTTACCACAATGAAAACAGAGAGAGACCACAAGCTTGCTCTTGAGGTGGCAGGAGAAGTTGCCCGGGCAAGCAAGAGCTCTGAACATACTAGAAGTGGGATTAGACTGGCATTTTATAAAGGTCACTCTGTCTACTTCTTGGAAGATGGTAAGGGTAGGAGGTTATTCGGTAAGAATGACAAAACCAGCAAAAAAATGCATTCTTGTGGGAATACAGGTGAGCGGTGATGTGGCTATAAAGTTAGGCACTGTTAGACAACAGGGAGCTGCTTCAAGAGAAAGGAAGGAAGTGGAATCAGCAGGGCTGGATGTCTGATTAGAGATGGGGCAAGGAAGAGGGAAGTGCGTCTAAGATGACTCTCGGGTTTCTGGATTACTCGACTAAGGAGATGACAATGCCTTTGACCAAAACAGAGAATCCCAGGCATAGGAGCAGATCTTAGGAGGGGCTTCAGGAGGCTGATAAACTTAGTTATGGACTGATGGAGTTTAAAGGGCCTGTGCATCCAGGTGGGAATATTTCATCATTTAACAAGCTTACCATGTGGTAGCATGAGGCATGGGTGGTTCAAAGGTAGAATTCTCACCTTCAAGGCAGGAGGCCCAGGTTTGATTCCCGGCAAATACACAGTCACCACCTGTCTACCAGTGGGGGCTGGGGCAGCAAGTTTCAGTGGAGCTTCCAGACAGGATGAAAGGCCTGGTGATCAACCCCCAAAAATCAGCCAATGGATCACAATGGTCCAACGCACAGCCAGTCCTGGGACGGTGCATGACTGGACAGCATTTTGTTCCATTGCACATGGGGTCACTATGAGTTAGGGGCTGATTCAATGGCAGTCTGTAACAACAACAATGTTGATGAGTATTTGGGTAGAGAGATTTGGGACAAAGGAATTAGGGAATCATCAACGTATTATGAAACTTGAAGCTATGGGAGGTGATAAGACCATCCAGAGACATGATGTCAACTGAAGCAAGAGAGG